GACGTGGTCTTAGCGGTTTGTTCGACTTTCTTAACCTTTTTTTAAAAATTTTTTTATGGACCTCTTGGCTTTCTGGTAGAGTCTGGGACCGCCTTTTCAAAGTAATGCTTCTATGTGCATAAAACGAATACATGGGATTACAAAGCAAACCAACTATATTGAAATAGAGTTGCCTCTTTGGGTCCTGTGGAAGTCCAAGTACTGAAGTTAAAAATTTCCTTAAGAGCTGAGTGTGGTGGCTCACACCTGTAATCCTAGCACTTTGGGAGGCCAAGGCAGGCGGATTGCCTGAGTTCAGGAGTTTGAGAACAGCGTGGGCAACACAGTGAAACCCCGTCTCTACTAAAATACAAAAAATTAGCTGGGCATGGCGATGGGCGCCTGTAGTCCCAGCTACTCGGGAGGCTGAGGCAGGAGAATTGCTTGAACTGAACCTTGGAGGCGGAGGTTGCAGTGAGCCAAGATTGCACCACTGCACTCCACCCTGGGTGACAGAACGAGGCTCCATCTCCAAAAAAAAAAAAAAAAAAAAATTCCGTAAGATTCTTAGTTCTTTATAAGCATTACTATATTTGTCTTTCTTTTTCTTTTTATTTTTTGAGACAGAGTCTTGCTCTGTCGCCTAGGCTGGAGTGCAGCGGCGTGATCTCGGTTCACTGCAACTTCTGCCTCTTGGATTCAAGCGATTCTCCTACCTTAGCCTCCCAACTAGCTGGGATTACAGGCACACACCACAGCATTTGGCTAATTTTGTATTTTTAGTAGAGATGGGGTTTCACCATGTTGACCAGACTGGTCTCGAGCTCCTAACCTCAAATGATCTGCCCATCTCGGCCTCCAGGTTTGAGCCACAGTGCCAGGCCTATATTTGTCTTTCTAACACATCAGGAGGAAATTGAGACATGAAAAGGGTAAGTACCTTGCCTAAGACCACTGTGACATAAAAAATATATATTTGGGCCAGGCATGGTGTCTCACACCTATAATCCCACCATTTTGGGAGGCTGAGGTGGGAGGATCCCTTGAGCCCAGAAGTTTGAGAACAGGCCCCGGCAACATAGGGAGACATTGTTTCTACTAAAATTTAAAAAATTAACTGGGCATGGTGGCAAGTGCCTGTAGTCCCGGCTACTCAGAAGACTGACTGAAGTGGGAAGATCACTTGAGCCCAGGAGTTCTAGGCTGCAGTGAGCTATGATTGCACCACTGCAGTGCAGCCTGGGCAATAGAGTGAGATCCTGTATCAAAACAAAACAAAACAAAACAAAACACAAGCAAAAGAAAGAAAGTAAGAAAGAAAGAAAGAAAAGAGAAGAGAAGAGAAGAGAAAGAGAAAGAAAGAAAGAGTATGTATTTGGTCTCTGTCGCCAGTTCCTGATACAGAGCTCCTAAATCTCTTGGAATTTCCTAGTTGATAGGAGTGTCTTTTTTTCTGATATTCTTGTTGGGCTCCTGGATAGCTTCAGGATAGAGGCTGGTCACCAGCAAATTCAAGCTATGATTAGAAGCTTAAAAGTTTTGGCCCAATACCCAGCCCATCCTCTTTGGAGGAGAGAGGAGTTGAAGATTGAGTTAATAATCAATTATGGTTACACTGTCAGAGGGTTCGAACCAGAGCGACTCCATTTTGAGTGAGGGCTAGGAAAATGAGATTGGGACTTGCTGGGCTACATTTCCAGAAAGTTAGGCATTTCCAGCTTCTAAACGTTTACAGTTAATGGAACAGATTGATAATGTTTACTAAACAGATCCAGACTTGGGAGTGTCCTGATGTCCCTGATACCTTGAGAGCAAAAGCATTCCTAATTTTGCTTTAAAGATAATAATATTAATTCTTGCAAAATATAATAATTAAGAAAATTAATCCTTTATCACAAACCCTTGGAGCAGAGCACATCTCCCCATGATCTGTTTTTAATCCTTGATAAATGAATATCGTACCTAGAGTGGATGCGTTCCTCTTCTCCCTTTCGGGAACGCCCTACTCAGTCTATACAGTACGTGTACATTCACCGCTTTACTGTCTTAAATTTACTTTTGCTTTGGACTGTGGACTTGCTCTGAATTATTTCTTGCACGAAATCCAAGCACCCTCTCTTGGGGTCTGGATTGGGACCCCTTTCTGGTAACAACATTATGAAGCCTCCATAGAAATCCCTGAAGTACGGGGTTCTAAGAGCTTCTGAGTTGGTGAACACATTCATATCCCAAAACGGGATTCCGTGTGGACAGAAGTTCCTGCATTCAGGATCCTTCCAGATCTTGTTTTATGTACCACTTCATCTGGTTGTTCATCTGTATCCTTTGTAATATCTTCTGTTATAAATCAATAAACTGGTTTGGGATGGGAGGAGAAGGTTGTGGGAATCCCTGATTTATAGCTGGTTGGTCAGATGTACAGGTGACAACCTGGGATTTGCAATTGTCATCTGAAGTGGGGGCAGTCTTGTAGGACTGAGCCCTTAAGGGTTTGGTGCATAGTATTGAATTGAATTTAACTGTACAACACCCAGTTGGTAGATACTAAATTAAAGAGTGGAGTTTATAATAAGACATAATTGGAGACTTGTTTGGTGGGGAAAAGGCTTCACACATTTGGTGTCAGAAGTGTCGAAAGTACAGAAAAATAGCTTTGTGTTTCTTTTCCTTTAACAATGGCTCTAGTAAGTGGTCAAGAAAGGATTCAAACTCAGGCAGTTTAACTTGACAGTTTTGTTTTGATATTATGCAGATAGGATCCCCTAAATTCATTAATGGTTGCTGTAGCATGTATTGCAGTGCTCGTACAGAAGAAACAACTGGTTGTATTCTATGAACTCCATTCTCTGGTTCACTGAGCATTACACGATGGCTTGGTTATCTGGGGGAGGTACGGGCCTTCAGAATTAATCCAGGCTCCAATTTTTTTTTCCTTGTCCCCAATATCAGAAGACATTGAGTCCCCTGTCCTTCTGGTTTAAGCCACTACTTGTTTGGTTTTCTTTTACTTGTAGCTAATATGTTAACTAATATATCCAATAATAGCTAAGATTGAGTGCAGTACTCTGCCAAACCAGAAGAAGGGAGGCTTAGAGCAAATTGCATTTGGTTTATATACATAAATTAAATGTGATATTTCTTTCTGTTTTATAGATTTTATTTTTTATTATTTTGTAGAAATGGGGGTCTTGCTATTGCCCAGGCTAATCTCGAACTTCTTACCTCAAGGGATCCTCCCTCATCGGCCCCCGAAAGTGTTGGGATTACAGATGCGAGCCACCTCACTTGGCCTAAATGTGACATATCTTATTCTCATGCTAAAGAATAAAATCTGTACCCACCACGTAATAATATTTCTCTCATAATGTTTATCGTGGAATTAAGGAGATAATGTGGCCTCAGGAAAATTGTGTTGAGTGGTAGTCATCATCAGTACTGCTCTTCCCATTAGGCTGAATGTTTGGAAGTTGTGGGAAATGGGAAAGAGGAGGAAATTGGGAAAATAAATGAAAATAGCCTTACAAATTTCAGATTTTTCAAATCTGAAGAGCTCCATTTACCTTATAAGTGCCAAATATTTTCACATAAAACCCAGTCTGTGGATAGTTATTAATCTAATAATATGATAAATTGGTACTACTATTCTATTTTCCATTTGATTAAATGGGAATTTTGAAAACAATTATTTTGGCTTTTTACCACAAACAAGCTCAGTAACTAGAATTCTTAAATCTGCAGGGTTTTTTTGTTTTGTTTTTTTGCTTTGTTTTGAGACAGAGTCTCACTCTAGTCACCCAGGCTGGAGTGCAGTAGCACTCTCTGGGCTCACGCAACCTCCGCCTCCCGGGTTCAAGCGAGTTTCCTGCCTCAGCCTCCTGAGTAGCTGGGATTACAGGCGGGCGCCTGGCTAATTTTTGTAGTTTTAGTAGAGATGGGGTTTCCCCATGTTGGCTAGGCTGGTCTTGAACTCCTGACCTCAAGTGATCCGCCTGCCTTGGCCTGCCAAACTGCTGGGATTACAGGCGTGAGCCACCGTGCCCCGCCAAAATCTCCAGTTCTTTTTTTTTTTTTTTTTTTTTGTGAGACACAGTCTCTCTCTGTCTCCCAGACTGGAGTGCAGTGGTATGATCTCGGCACACTGCAAGCTCCGCCTCCCGGGTTCACGCCATTCTCCCGCCTCAGCTTCCCGAGTAGCTGGGACTACAGGCGCCTGCCACCACGCCTGGCTAATTTTGTTTTTATATTTTTAGTAGAGACGGGGTTTCACCATGTTAGCCAGGATAGTCTCGATCTCCTGGCCTCGTGATCCATCCACCTCGGCCTCCCAAAGTGCTGGGTTTACAGGCTTGAGTCACCGTGCCCCGCCTAAATCTGCAGTTCTGATGGAATGTTTTGACTGAAGACTGAACATAGAAACCGTACCTTGGGTTTTGTTGTTGTTACTTTTTCCTAACCCGGCCCCCTATTAGTTTACTATGTATTAGACAGAACCTGAGAGCGGTGACTACTCTGCCAATAAATTGCTACATTCAATATTCTTCGGTTGCCTAATTCAGTGGGAAACAGAAAAAAGGTAAAGAGGACATGAAATCAAAAATAAATGCATCTTCTATACAGGATTAGAATGCCTCTTAACACTCATTCGAGGGCTGAGGGACTGTGGCAGAAGTTCTTAATCTTAGATCCATGGATTGTTTTCAGGGTTTTGAAAATGTGTAATTTTTTTTTTTCCTTTAAAGTAATGAGCATGTGTATACGAATTTTTTTTTCCAGGGGAAAAGCTCCATAGTTTTCACCAGATTGACAACTGTTTTAAATCCCCCGACAGGTTACAAACTACAATACTAGTTTTTGACCGGTTTGTAAAAGGATGCAATTCTTCGAATCTAGTTTTTACATCCTTCTGACGAGGCAGGAGCCTCTACCCTAAACAAAAATGGCGGAAGCTGCTTCACACGTAGCCCCTCACGCAGAAAGCCCAGAAGGCCCCCTCCACTTTCTCTCCACCTTCCTACTCCTGACCCCGGAAGGACTCCGCCTTCCCTCCGTCTGGCTGCTGCTCAGCCCCAGGCTGCAGCTGGGAAGCAGGCGTGGGCAGGCCGGCTGTACCTGGCCTGGAGCTCCAGGTACAGGGCCAGGGGCGGGGTGGGGTGGATAGGCGGGTGGGAGGAAGCGGAGAGTTGGGCGGCCACGCAGTTGGGGCAGAGGCCTCGGGGCACGGGTGGCACGGACTCCATCGCCGGCGTTAGCTCTCCGAGTGCCAGGTGGAGCGGCGGAAAGCCAGAGGGTCTACGGCCGTGCCACCCTGAACACCCCCGACCTCGTCTCATCTCAGAAGCTAAGCAGGGTCGGGCCTGGTTAGTACTTGCAGAAGAAAGTAGGAGGGTCCCCACGCCAGAGGGAGGCCTGCAAAGGAAGCGCGGAATTGGGATGGGCTCGCCATCGGTCTGAGCCCGAGGAAGGGTCTGGACGGCCGAGCTGAAGGTATCCCCTTTTCTGGTCCTCTTGGTAAAGAAAAAGGAAGACAGCAGAGGAGAGCTCCGCGAGGGGCTGCTGTGGGGTCGGGAGAGAGCGCGCTGGAGATGGGGCAGCTGGTGAGGTCTCAGGTTCGGCTTGCATGCGGGTGGTTTTGAGCAGGGAGTGGCTTTTGGTTGTGAAAGATTACGCTGCTTTACAGGTGCTTTCAGAGAAAAATTTAGATGGGAGTATTGTGGTGTCTGTTCCTTCTGTAAAGTTGTTAAATATCTGTTTTCCGGAGGAAAGACTCAGCTTGTTTTTGCACAGGACTTTGAGACTTTTATTATTGTTGTTTTATTGTTGTTGTTATTGCAGCTAAACATTTTTCTCTGTTCAGAGTGTCTTCTCAGAGTTAGGTTATATAGATTTGTGCTTCAAGTCAATTTTCTTTTTGGTATTTCAGACTTTCCTTCCTGTTGTATTATAAAGTCAAAGTTGTAGGATAGAAATTTAAGATGTGTAAGAAACAAATTGTTTATGACATTTATTTTTAATTACCCAGTAGTTGGAATGTAGAGGAACAAGTAATATCACACAGGACAGTATTTTTGGTTATATTTTATAGATTCCTTCTATAAATTTGAATAATCATGAAACTACCTTCATATTTATTTTTATTATACTTCTGGAAGCAACTGAAATGACTGGTTTTTTTGTTTGTTTGTTTGTTTGTTTTTAGTTTTTCAATGAATAATGATTAGGTTTGGAATCAACTTCCTCAGTAATTTTAAATGAAAAAGAATGAGGTAGTTAGAATGCAAAAATAGAGGTTTATTGTAATCTTTTTTTTTTTTTTTCTTTTTTTTGAGATGCTGTCTTGCTCTGTCACCCAGGCTGGAGTGCAATGGTGCAATCTCTGCTCATTGCAACCTCCGCCCTCACGGTTCTAGCAATTCTCCTACCTCAGCCTACCGAGTAGCTGGGATTACAGGCGCGGCACCATGCCTGGCTAATTTTTTTGTATTTGTGGTTGAGACGGGGTTTTGATATAGTGGCTAGGCTGGTCTCGAACTCCTTGACCTCAACTGATGCGCCTCGGCCTCCCGAAATGCTGGGATTGCAGGCGTGAGCCACCACGCCCGGCCTAGGTTTGTCATAATCTTTTAAGAATATCTCTGCAACCAATTAAAGTGTTTGCTTTATTTTCTTTCTATTCTGCTTAAAAATTTGGAATGCTCTATTATAGGGAAAATTACTTTGGGTGAATTACTCAATATATTTTTTTAATGCAGTAGCATAGATTGCTTAATGATCCAGACTCTAATTAGTAAAAATGTTTCTCAAAATAAAATGTATTAATGTTTAGGGAGGGAGAAGAATAAATGAGCTTCCCCTCACTTCCTTTTTACTGTAGTAATATTAAAAAAGTAATACGTGTAGGCAGATTTTTAAAAATCAAGTATTACAGACAGACTTATAAGGAAAAGCAGTCATTCTTTGCCCGGTTTCTCTATACCCTTGTTTTATTCTCCAGAGGACCATTTTTCACTTTCTTAGCTGTTCGTGGTTTCCTCTGTACTTTTTAATCATATGTCTCTATCACAAGTTGTTGACTGAAATAAATGTATGTCAATTAAACTATACTGAGTCTAAAAGTTGTACTTAGAACACTGATAGGGGGAATTAAATTTATACTGCTGTATCTCTAGTAAGGATTAAGGGACGCATCGGTAGTAGTAACCCACCCTAAGAGGTATCGCTGTGTTTGATTTTAAAGGAAGCCACTACTTAATCAGTGGTTTTGACTCTTGTCTGAAAACAGGTGGGTATTAACAGAAGGGGATAGTCTATTGGAGTACAGAAAAAGAGAACATAGAGATATATGCAGAAATGAAGAGCCTAAAAAAAGTATAGCAAATAATTTTTTTTTTTTTGGTGTAGACAGGGTTTCACCATGTTTCCCAGGCTGGTCTTGAACTCCTGGGTTCATGAGCTCAAGCGATCCACCCACCTTGGCCTCCCAAATCACTCCCAGAGTAGCTCAGGAGTGAGCCACTCACTGTGCTCCGCCGCAAATTAACTTTTATAGAGGGATTGTTGGTGATTTTTGTATTCTGTTATGTAATATACAACACTACCCAAATAAAATAAATAGTGGATTTGGTAGACATCAACATTGTGGTTATTAGAGAAGCGCATTCTCTTGTGCATTGGAGATAGTGCTTAGGTGTTTTCTTAGCCTGAATGGAATATTCCTCAGGACTCTTGATTTTTGCACTCATCAGGCAACATTTTTGACTTATTAGTTCAGCTTCCTATAGTCTTTTATTTCAGGGATGGTATGTTTTGATAGAATATGTAAGTATTCTGGTCACTAGATAGTGTATTTCTTTATTATAAATAGATAAACTTGTAAACTGGTTTATACATCAATACCGTGTAAATTTGTTTAATGTGTGTTCAACTGGGTACAGTGATAATAAAATTATTTCTGGCTCTGAAACCCAGATCCTGAACCACTTAATGTAATGTTAAAGTTAATGACTTCTCTTTGTGCGACAACTACTTCTCTGTACTCATCTGACTTTTCTTTTTTTGTTCAAGAGGAATAATATGCACTAAAACTATACCAAAATCATATAGCATGCATGTGGCATTTCTTTGAAGATCTTTAAAGTGAGACAACAGGAGAATAAATGTGTGAGTTCTGATGTTCAGTCAGTGAACTCGGAGGTTCACAGAACCCCAGGATTCTGTTCCGGATTCCATTCAGCAACCTGCCTGCCACCTGCTCTCACCCCCGCAGTTATACGAAGGAAACCAAATGAATGGGAAGCAGTATATTTTCAGTTACTCTCTAAAAGATGTTAAATTTTTATGTAACCAGAAAAGAGAGAATCTAGAACTTGCGGTTTCCTAAGGAAAATTTGCTACCTGGACTCAAAGTTTAAATCTAGCTTATTTGTTTTTTAACTTATTATTATTTTTTATGCTATCTCCTACAGGAAGGATAGCTTATTTTTTCTTTTATGCGTTTGGTGATTAATAAATATAATTTTACCTCAAGTGTAATGTCATCAATAATTGACTGCAAAAATAAGCTGATAGAATTAAAATTTCAGTTTGTACCTTTCATTGGTAAAGTAACCAGAAATCTTTGTGGCTAATATGTTTTTATGTTTCATTTAATGAAGATTAGAAGAGGAGCCATGTCAGAAGAAACAGTAAGTGAATCACAGTTTTCATTGAGGACAGCCGCCCTAAGAGTGTTTGATCTTCCTCTGACTTGGTACTATTCTCTCTCCCAGGTAAATAAAAGAAGCAAACATGAAGTTGAATATTAAGCTTATTGCTCAGAGCGTATTTTGTTTATATTATTTCAGTTTTATTTGAGGTTTCTATATAGTACAGTCAAAATATTTATTACAGTAATTATTTTACAGTATGAATTTACAGTATAAATTTATTAAAACCTATTTGGTTATTTCATGGTTTTCTTTTTATTTTTGGTTATCGTAACTCTTAAAAAGGGCTTAAAAATTTTTTTCTGTCTTAAGCAAACTTACATAGTCCATTATTATTACTTTCAGTGAATTATGTTATTCCAGTAGGCCTGTTCTCACTATTAACAATCTTTTTAATTTTATTGTGGTAAGGTACAAATAACATAAAATTGACCATTTTGATCATTTTTAAGTGTATAGTTCATTAGCCTTAAGTACATTCACATTGTTGTACAAGCAATATCCAGAATTCTTTTCATCTTGCAAACTCAGACTCTACAACTGTTTATCAGCATCTTACTATACCTCCTTCCTGTCGTTCCCCACCACCATTCTATTTTCTGTCTGTATGAATTTGACTAGGTAACTCACAAGTAGAATCCTACAGAATCTTCTTGTGACTAGCTTATTTTACTTAGCATAACGTCCTCAAGGTTCATCCATGTTGCAGCATATGTCAGCATTGCCTTTCTTTTTAAGGTAGAATAATATTTCTTTGTGTGGATATACCACATTTTACTTATGTGTGTGTTTGTTGATGGACATTGGATTACTTCCATGTTTTTGCTATTGTGAATAATGCTGCTATAAAGATGGATATACAAATATCTCTTTGAGATCCTGCTTTTTTTTTTTTTTTTTTTTTGAGACAGTCTCGCTCTGTCGCCCAGGCTGGAGTGCAGTGGCACGATCTCGGCTCACTGCAAGCTCCGCCTCCCGGGTTTACGCCATTCTCCTGCCTCAGCCTCCCGAGTAGCTGGGACTACAGGCGCCCGCCACCTCGCCCGGCTAATTTTTTTTTGTATTTTATTTTTAGTAGAGACGTGGTTTCACCGTGTTAGCCAGGATGGTCTCCATCTCCTGACCTCGTGATCCGCCCGTCTCGGCCTCCCAAAGTGCTGGGATCACAGGCTTAAGCCACCGCGCCCAGCCTAAGATTCTGCTTTTAATTCTTTTGAGTGAAGTGAAATTGCTGGATCATACAGTAATTCTACTTTTAATTACATTTTTTTTTCTTTTTTTTTTTTTGAGGCAGGGTCTTGCTTTGGAGTACAGTGGCAAGATCATAGTTCACTGCAGTCTCAAACTCCTGGGGTCAAGCAATCCTCCCACCTCAGCCTCTCAAGTAGCTGCGACTTCAGGCATGTGCCACCATCTCTCCACCAATTTTTTAATTTTTTGAAGAGACAGAGTCTCAGCATGTTGACCAGGCTGGTCTTGAACTCCTGGCCTCAAATCATCCTCCCACTTTGACCTCCTAAAGTACTGGGATTATAGGTGTGAGCTGGTTCGCCCAGCCCTATTTTTAATTTTTTGAGGAACTGCCATACTGTTTTTCACAGTGGCTATACCACTTTACGTTTCTACCAGTAGTGCACAGTTTTTCTACATCCTCATCAATGCTTGTTATTTTCTGTTTCATTGATAGTAGCCATCCTAATGGGTATGAGGTTATATTAGTCCATTTTCATGCTGCTGATAAAGGCATACCTGAGACAATTTACAAAAGAAAGAGGTTTATTGGACTCACAGTTCCACATGGCTGGAGAGGTCTCACAATCATGGTGGAAGGTGAAAGTCACATCTCACATGGCAGCAGACAAGAGCTTGTGCAGAAAAACTCCTATTTTTTTTTTTTTAATTATTAAAAACTCCCATTTTTAAAACTGTCAGATATTGTGACCCTTACTCATCATGAGAACAGCAAGGGAAGGACTTGTCCCCATGATTCAATTACCTCCCGCTGGGTCCCTCCCACAACATACGGGAATTCAAGATGAGATTTGGATGGGGACACAACCAAACCGTATCATTCTGCTCCTGGCCCCTCCCAAATCTCATGTCCTCACATTTCATCATCCCTTCCCAACAGTCTCTCAAAGTCTTGACTCATTTCAGCATTAACTCAAAAGTCCACAGTCCAAAGTCTCATCTGAGACAAGGCAAGTCCCTTCCATTTTACAAGCCTGTAAAATCAAAAGCAGATTAGTTACTTCCTAATTTCGGGATATGGGCATTGGGTAAATATGGCCATTCCGAATGGGAGAAATTGGCCAAAACAAAGGAGCTACAGGCCCCATGCAAGTTCGAAATCCAGCAGGGCAGTCAAATATATATATATGTATTTGAGATGGAGTTTGGCTCTTGTTGCCCAGGCTGGAGTGCAATGGCATGATCTTGGCTCACCGCAACCTCCACCTCACAGGTTCAAGCGATTCTCCTCCCTCAGCCTCCTGAGTAGCTGGGATTACAGGCATGCGCCACAACGCCAGGCTGGTTTTGTATTTTTAGTAGAGATGGGGTTTCTCCATGTTGGTCAGTCTGGTCTTGAACTCCTGACCTCAGGTGATCCACCCGCCTCGGCCTCCCAAAGTGCTGGGATTACAGGCATGAGCTACCACGCCTGGCCAGGGCAGTCAAATATTAAAGCTCCAAAATGATCTCTTTTGATTCCATGTCTCACATTCAGGTCATGCTGATGCAAGAGGTGGGTTCCCATGGTCGTGGGCAGCTCTGCCTTTGTGACTTTGCAGGGTACAGCCTCCCTCCCGGCTGCTTTCATGGGCTGGCATTGAATGTCTGTGGCTTTTCCAGGTGCACGGTGCAAGCTGTTGGTGGATCTATCATTCTGGGGTCTGGAGGACGGTGGCCCTCTTCTCACAGCTCCACTAGGCAGTACCCCAGTAGGGACTCTGTGTGGGGGCTCCAACCCCATGTTTCCCTTCTGTACTGCCCTAGCAGAGGTTCTCCATGAGGGCCCACCCCTGCAGCAAACTTCTGCCTGGGCATCCAGGCGTTTCCATACATCTTCTGAAATGTAGGCGGAGGTTCCCAAACTCCAGTTCTTGATTTCTGTGCACTGGCAGCCTCAAAACCATGTGGAAGCAGTTAAGGCTTGCAGCTTGCACCCTCTGAAGCCACAGCCCAAGCTCTATGTTGGCCCCTTTCAACCATGGCTAGAGCGGCTGGGATGCAGGGCACCAAACCCCTAGGCTACACACAGCACAGGGACACTGGGCCTGGACCCTGAAATCACTTTTTCCTCCTAGGCCTCCTGGCTGGTGATGGGAGGGGCTGCCGTGAAGACCTCTGGCATGCCCTGGAGACATTTTCCCTATTATCTTGGGGATTAACATTTGACTTCTTGTTACTTATGCAAATTTCTGTAACCTGCTTGAGTTTCTCAGAAAATGGAATTTTCTTTTCTATTGTATTGTCAGGCTGCAAATTTTCCAAACTTTTGTGCTCTGCGTCCCTTATAAAACTGAATGCCTTTAACAGCACCCAAGTCACCTCTTGAATGCTTTGCTGCTTAGAAATTTCTTCTGCTGGCCGGGCGCGGTGGCTCAAGCCTGTAATCCCAGCACTTTGGGAGGCCGAGACGGGTGGATCAC